AGAGAGAGAAAACAAACAATAAATTATTATTAAGTGGCTTTTTTGGAAGTAAACCAAGAAAGTTTGAAGAAAGTGGTATTGTTAAGGAAAATTTCAAACAAAGGTGGCATTTTTTAAGTTCTTGAAAGCCCATGAAAGTTTGAAGAAAGTAGTATTGTTTAGGAAACTTCAAACAAAGGTGGCATTTTTTAAGTTCTTGAAAGCTCTGGTGAAGTGAGGCTGCCCCAGCCTCCACCCACCCACCCTCGAAAAAAACCACAAAAAAAGAAAAAAGGGAAAAACAAATAGAACTGAAATAGATATGTAACTAGCATGTGATCCACATAGAGACAGGTTTGTTTTGTATTCGTACCATGCAAATGGATAGAAGATTGTATTCAATCGTGCTATCCTAGAACTCGCTAAAACTGAGTCCAGAGAGAAGAAAGACAAAACAATTTATAAAGGAGCATACAAAAACCAATTAAACTACCAATGAAATCCATCAGGGCATTTGTGGGTTGCTTGAAACAAGAAGCAAGTACAGCCACAACAATTTCAAAATATGCATGTCACATTACAATAATGGATGTAGAGATAGACTCTCGGAGATCAGAACACTGCTCAGTCATTTACTTTTAATAAACAAACACCATTTGGAAGGAACCATTGATTAGAACCATGGATTAACTCATAATAATTACATTACCCATGAAAGAAGCATGTATTTACCTGCTTGCAATGAGATAGTATTTACCTAAAGAAAATGGAATAGGTGCCCCAGTTCACAGGATATATATGAATTCCAAACTATGTTAAGGACCATAACATGTTAAGGGCTAGCCATGTGTGGCGCTGACCAAGTACAGCACTCGTTAAGCGGTGCGAGTTGGTTCAAGTGGAAGGACTTAAAAGAGCAAGGGGTAGGCCCAAAAGGATGTGGCTGGAAGTAGTTTGGAAAGATACAAGGACTTATGGCCTCACTGAGGATATGGCATTTAATAGAGCAAAATGACAGACCAGGATTCATGTAGCCGAGCCCAATTAATTGGGAAAAGACTATGATGATGACGATGATGATGATGATGTTAAGGACTGTAACATAGTCAATCTAACAAGTGGAGATGGCATCATTAGAAGCCAGACTACATCCATGGTAGATTGGGAAAGATTAGGTCTTTACCAGAACACAAAAATCACAATTACCCAAGTGAACATCAGAGCACTATCATTCATCTAGAATAACAAGGAGCTTAATACTCCCAACAATGAGGCTCTATTATTCAATAGCAATGAGACAGTTCAATAATCATATTATTGGGTCATGCAAGTTATCAGCTGCTTAATGTATAGATAGTACAAATTTACAAATGTAGGGTCGTGTCAAATATGCAATAATCAAATGGTATCTAAAGGCTTTTCAACTCTTTGAAAATTGACTGCATTTATCAAAGTGGTGAGAACTCAAAGTTGATAAGATCAAAACTAGAACATGTCCCCAA